GATTATAAATAATACTCGTCGAAAGTCACTTTTTTCATTTACGACTGATTCGGAAAAAAAAACCTATATCCTGGGGTGAATCAGCAAGAAACCCAGCGGAATGTTTTCTAAATAACAACTTACAATCATGTACGTTACAATTAACAACACAATAAATTAGAAACAGTTTGGTAGCGATCACCCTACCCAGGGGTTATTATCATCCATATCTTAAGTGTATAACAGATGTAGAGAAATGTAGAAGAAGCCCAGTATAATAACAGGCCATGAGGTATTCCATCTTAGTCTTCATTGATGCCAATTCTTTATGTTGGTTGCAGGTGAACACGCGATTGCTGCCGCGTTCATCAGGTGGACTGTAAGTTTGTTTTTCAATTCATTTTTTTTTACAGAATAAAATTCACTTACAGCCTACATACGTCCTACGTAGTGGGACGTATATAGGCTGTAAGTGAATTGAGAGAACTCTACACGTCTTCGAAATATTTTTTGTTTCTCAGACATGCAGGTTTCCTCACGATGTTTTCCTTCATCGAAAAATTATACAACAGTAAATAAACGCTTAAAATTGCTCGCGTACTGTGAAAATTTATATATTGTATTTCAGTGTGTCTTACTACACTAAAATACAATAGTATTCGCATTTGTTTGCAGAAATAGATAGAAATAGACGATTTCAACGTACCTGTTTGGTTCCATCAGGAAGTACGACAAAGTACGTCCCTTCTGCTTTATCATCCTGCCGGTTTTCCGCGTGGCCAAAGTCACTTTCGCTCTCGTAGTCGCTCACTTTGTAGGAGAACTCGTAGTTCGCTGGTTCCTATGTATTTTGATTAGTAAGTTTGAGTAATAGAACGTGTAGTAGCGTGTAAGAATATCCAGTACCCCATATCGTCCCGTGGGTGGCGCAAGAGGTGAGACAGAGAAATACAAAGGCAACAGAGTCTTCCTAATAACGACTAGAAAATAAAATAAACTGCCCACCAAGCGTGCCAACTGTGGCAAATATCCCCCTTATCAGGTAACCTATGGAGTGATCCCCCCCCCCGGTATGTTCAGCAGTGGTCTTAGATAGTCTTTATTGAATGAATAATTAATGGCATTGATACATTTAGTAGTATTTATCAATTCCCTTAAGTTGCGTGTTTGCGCAAAATGAGGCGCTAGTCGTTATTTGTAACGTTTTTAGGAACTATCTAGATATCTACTTCTTATTAAAATGATGTATCAACTAATAAAAAAACCTATTACATTTCTACACAATCTTGATTCCATAATAGCCAATTCCAGTTTTTTTAAAGGAGTAAATACTTGATGAATCTTCCTACAACTACACCACAGAAATGCGAATTAATTATAAATAATAAAAAATTATTATATAAAACTTATTGATGACATACATCTTCTCCTCATAAAGTAAACATTTATTACACGTCTCATAAGCGTTGAGGTTGTGCTCTACTGTCACCTAATGGTGTTAAGTAAAGTCGCTTAATACGTAAGTAAAATCATGTATTTTATTAACTGCATAAAATATCATAAATCTAAACAAGGTTATAGATATGCATAATAATAACAATGTACATTTTAGACACGCAAATAAGGTATAATTATTATTACTCACAATTTATCTTCCATGTACGTATTCTCTACTCAAAGGTTTTAGTGAGACTGCCGCTTATCGCTGCCGCTCAAACCGACGGCATCTGTCTTTTATAGGCTTGTAATTTAACAGTGCTAAACTACAGATGGCGTTGCTTGTGTGGTTTCCGTTACAAGTTTTTATAAAGTTGGATATTAAGCCGTAAGTTTTTACATTATAAAACATTATTTATATTTCTTATAATTATCTTAAATAGTTTTACATTCTAGTTATAAATATAAGCAAAAAATAAATAACTAGACATAATCTAATACATTAAATGTACCCGCAGACTTTATAGGATGAAAAAAATAATTACCCACTATGTTAGTTACAACAATATAAATTATTAAAATACGCTAACAATGGAAATCCAGTAATTTACTGAGCTAAAAATGTCTTCATTTTTTAACTACCGCACTGTAAGAATAATAAAAATACACATATATCGAGAAAAATCACTCGTTTTCCTGTTTCTATTACTTTTAAAAGTAATTTTTTGTATAAACAAACTGATTGAAAAAAATTATCGAGGGTGCCCGGAAGTCTGTATTAATCGTAGTCGTTAGAATTAATGTATCAAAATAATTCTTTTTTTATTAGGTTTAGAATCTCAACGCACAGGTTCTTTTAAAAATCACTGAGTAATTTGTTCTTGTTTAATTGTAATTAATGAAAATGTAAAAAACAACTGGTACTTTTCTACAAAAAAATATACTCATGGATCTCTTCTTTCGTCTCAAATATATAAAAAGATATATTTTTCTTTTTATATAATCAAATGAGATTATAAGGCGTGCACTTTTGGCTTTTCCAAACTTTTTTATTTTGCGATTGACACTAATGGATAGGCAATTTATTAATGAACATTTTGATCTATTTAATTTTTTCATAGGACTAAAATTCGATTTTATAAAGAAAATATTTTAAAATTTGGGCGTATTTCTTACGCGATATATTGTAGCGAGAGCCCGTGGAATGTATATGACCGAATGCTTAAGGTCTTTCGCTAGGACTAGAGCCTTAGTTAGCCTCCCCTATAGATTGTCTTGTATGCTTTTTCTAAAGTTGCCACGCTAAAAAGGCGGGATGGCAAAAGAAAAATGCCGCTGCCTATATCCTGTTTCAGTTTCCCTCTATCCCCACTTACAACACCTACGGGATGAGATGGGGTAGCGGATATTATTACGCCGCTGTTGAATGCTTCGATATCCTTGTGCTTGCTTATTTACTTATGAACTGATTTTTTTTTTGGGGTAGGGTGATAAACGAGCACACAGACCACCTGATAGTAAGTGGTTGCTGTGGCCCATAGACATCTACATCTACCCTCGATTACGAATAAAAATGCAGATGCGGTGTCACCCGTGAGGACTAATATGGAATGCCTCGTTTCCAGTAAAAAGGGTCTCCGGTTCTACACTTACCATACGAAACACAGTAGCATTAAGCTACTATTTTACGCTGGTAATCTGTGAGAGCGTGGTCCTTCTCCGGTCGAGCCGATACATTCGTGCTACAACTATACTACTAATATAACTGCAGAATGGCTCTACCACGTACAAAAACACTCAACAGAAGGTTTCTGCCATGCATATAGACTCACTGTACAATACGTTTTATTTTACTATAGTAAACCAGTGCTAGACTAACTACCCCAATGGCAAGTGATGATGTTAAATGGATGACGAATGTTAAAGCGCAATGATTTTGCTTAAAAGACTCCTACATTGTAAACGAATGAATATTATATTCATTTTTTTACGCATAACTAACGACGAAAAAAACTATTTACATGATTCTTTATTATTAGAACTGAAGTCAGAGAAGAAATTCAGAGTTGTGCTTTCGTCGAATACATTGAAATGTGATACTAGTCTATTTTTACGTGGTAGAGCCACGCTGCAGCTATGTTATAGTTGTATCACGAATGGATCGGCTCGACCGGGGCAGGACCACGCTCTGGACATGCTTATCGTATGGTGAGTGTAGAGAACCGGAGACCCTTTTTACTGGAAAGCAGGCATTCCATCATAGTACTCAGGGATTTGCTCATTTTGATTCTTAATTGTGGATTAATGTGGATGTCTATGGGCCACAGCTTTCACTTACCATCAGGTGGACTGTGTGCTCATTTGTCAACAAATGCTATAAAGTAAACAGTCTTTCTAATATTTAAAAATTTTAATTATTTACAGCATATACAATGGTCAAAGAAGGTCTTATGTTTCTTTATCCCTATGACAAGGGTCAAAGAAACATAAGAACCTTGATAGACAAGGAAAGCATATTATATATTTATTTTTCACAAATCAACGCTGTATAATGTAGCCAGATGGTCCATACGTGGTGAAGCCACGCTGCAGCTATACTATGGTTGTAGCACGAATGGGTCGGCTCGACCGGGGAAAGACAACGCTCTCACAGAATACCAGCGTAAAATAGCAGCTTAATGCTGCTGTGTTTCGTATGGTGAGTGTAGAGATCCGGAGACCCTTTTTTACTGGAAATGAGGCATTCCATTTTAGTGCTCAGGGGTGACAAGGCATCTGCGTTTTGATTCTTAATCGAGGATAAATGTAGATGTCTATGGGCCACAGCATCCACTTACCATCAGATGGACTGTGTGCTCGTTTGTCACCCTTATTCTATAAAAAAAGCGTTGCTGTTTCTGTTTCTGTATTTCTAACTTCATGTGCACTATACTAAGTCGCCAGAGAGTCAACTGGTGTTTCATAAATTTGGGAAGGACTGTTTCTTTATGATTTGGCGAGACTTTGTGTTCCAAATGAGAAATCTTCTAATGTCCTGTGCGCCTGTATAGCTTGAAGAAGGTGAATATTCCTGTGATACGGAGCCAGTACCCAACTGGCTACTGATAAATTTGGGCACACCGTACTTTTGAACGTGCGAAGAGCTACTAGTATTCGAAAAGCCACTGTTTCTTACGAATGGAGCATTGTATTCTCCAACATTCGTTGGTTGGAATTCAGGGACACCGTATTGTGTGGTTGGGGACCATCTGAGTGATGGAGCACTGTATACGTCCGAAGGAGACGTTCTTACAGCACCATACCGTTGAGAGGTTCCTGTTTTTGAATTAACCACCGAAAAACTCTGTCTCAAAGAGCTAAGAGGGTCGTACTCTTGTGAGTGACGAAGTGACGGTGCATACTCCTGTGATAATTTACTCCCAAATTCTGTACCACTGCGCCACTGCGCAAGTTGGGAGTTCCATTTTCCTAAGATAATCCGCCACGGAAGCTAGTAGATCCATATTCTTGAGAAATTCCACATGTTCTCGGTCCTAGATATTGGTCAGAGATGGTGTTAGTAAATGCTTTGGAGCCTCTTACAGATGATTCAGGTAAGTCCGGTAAATATTGTTGAGGAGACTCTCCGTGACCTGATCGGGCTGCTGCTAAGTAAGTATCCCTAAAATTTAGTAAGGAAAACATAAGTTAGGTACTTGTTATGTATATTCCTTTCTTAGAGTGTAACTGTTAAAATATCAATTTTAATTAATTTGAAGCGTTTAATTGATAAATTTGGAATTTTTAGAAATAGTTAATAATAAATTACGATACAAGAGACTTGATAGGTAGCTGATTATTGACTTGCGTGAAGTTAGCGCACGAGCGATGCGAATGCACTAACTTCACACGTTTTAATAATCGGAACGAGTAATTCTTGTATATATATATATATCGGAAACGGCTCCAACGATTTTCATAAAATTTAGTGTCCAGGGAGTTTCGGGGGCAATAAATCGATCTAGCTAGGATTTATTTTTAGAAAATGTCTTTTTGTCCGTGTTTTCAGGCAATGGAAAATTGCTACAATATAGGAAGGTAAATTTTGACATTGTGTTAATGATCGTAATAGCTCAGGTGGATATCGAGCGGTCGCGAAATCGTAATGCCTTGGTTCGCGCCCCGTCTTCGGTCCGACTTTTTTTCCTTTTTTTTTCAATTTCCTTTCTTTTGTGAGAAAATCTATTATTTCGAGCCCTTTCTTTTAGTATTTTTTAAAAACATGAAAATTTTAATTAAACTAATTGCATAATTTTTTTAATTCAAACCGAGCAAAGCTCGGTCATCCAGGTACTGTTATATATGGATATGTCAAAACATAAAGACAAAAATGTGATTGAAATGAAATAATAACTTTTATTTTAGGGCTTTTAGCTTTTTTACCGCTTACCGCATTTACCGTGCAGTGGCGGTGTGAGAATATCCACTGCCTCATATCATCCCCTGGCTGTCGTAAGAGGCAGCAGAGGGAAACATACCTGCAGATGGCTAACAACGTGTTCCCAGTAACGACTAAAAATAAAATATGGCAAAAACTATGGCAATAATGCAATCTATGGGGGAGGTCTATGTTCAGCAGTGCACTTTGATAGGCTGTAATGGTAACGATAGTATTCTTGACTTCCTCATTGGTTCAGTGGTTGTAGTAGTGCGACTGCTGACCATGAGGTCCTGGGTTCGAATCCCGGGTCGAGCCAAAAATTTTACTATTGAGTTTTTCCGTCAAGAAATTCTTAGTAGTTGCCCGGAGTCGGAAGTTGGCGGTGTCTCACCCCCGTACATCGGAAAGCACGTAAAGTCGTTGGTCCTGCGCCTGATCTCTCTCCGGTCGTGTAGGTTTACCGTCCCGTCGGATTATGAGAGTGAGAGGGAGTAGAGAGTGCACCTGTGCTTGCTCATACACTTGGGCAGTATAATCCTGTCCTGCGCCGATGGATAGCCTCCGCTGAAGCAGGCCGCCGTGGCCGAAATTCAGTCTGAAGGACCTTATTATTATTCTTGACTTCAAATATAATGCTTTACGCAGGCCAAAATCAATGAAAAATTTGACTTTTACTTAGTGTTATTTAATTTACTAACATCGTAAGAAATATTGAATGATTTTTTTTACCGTCTGGAAAAAATAGGGTGTACCAGGTGAACGGAATAGAAGCCAACGGCACTGATATCTTACATTCTTTGTTACATTAACATATTATGAAATTAATCTATCAATAAATACTACTACTTAGGTGCGTATTATTTTAATTTGGATAGTTTTTAATTGATTTATTTATTTAGTTAAAAATATGCAGATTCGTTGTCACACCTGAGGATTAATATGTAATGCCGCGTATCCAGTAAAAAGGGTAGCTGGATCTTTACACCATACGAAACACAGCAGTATTCAGCTGCTATTTTACGCTGGTATTCTATGAGAGCGTGGTGCTTCCCTGGTCGAGCCGACCCATTCGTGCTATAACCATAATATAGCTGCAGTGTGACTCTACCACATATGAGATGACATTATAGCTGAAGTACAAACGGTTCAGTTTGACCGGGGAAATTTCACGTTCTCACACAAAACCAGCGAAAAATAGCAGCTGTATGCTGCTTTCTTATGGTTTTAGTAACTAAAACTAAAGTCCATTTTACTTGTAATATAAATACCATCTTTGTTCCTAAGGAAGGCAACGAATCTGTATATGGGTCACAGCATCTTGTGGGCTAGAGTATCCACTAACCATCAGGTAGACAACGTACTTATTTGTCACCCTCACTTTATCAAAAATGTATTTCTATGTTTTATAGTAACATCGTTGCACTATAGGACGTCCTGCTCAGCTGAATTGGTACGCTGGTAACTTCCGATCGCATTTGATTATAGCGGAAAGTGGGCAAAGAGAACATACAATAGCGACAATATGTAAATCTCTACTCAAACTTGTTAACTTCCTAAATTAATGCGGTAAAAATTGATAATAATTACATTATTATTAATTTTATATATAAAAACAATCTAACCACTTCTACACCTTGAAACTGAACTGTTCCAGATGAAACGAACCTGTTGAATACTGTATCAGAAACATCTTGCACTATTTATATTAATCGTTTGACTGAAGAAAAGCTCGACCGCATCATAGGCTACGTTTCACAACTACATTGCACCGAATATTCGAATCTATATCATTATAATAAGAACAGGTAGAGTCAGAGGAGGTGCAAACACACGTGTGTCAAAATTCGTCCTATTGTTGATAAAAACCTTCATAGCATGCGTGTGACGACACCGAATATCAAACGTGGATTAATTAATTATTACCAGTAACGTTCATGACTGAATTATATCAACTGATCAAGATTTATGGTTTTAGAATGTCCCGTTGAAGGCTTTATTCATAAATTAAATGAAGGTTTTAGTCAGTCTAGATATTTGGAGAAAATATATTCTAATTTACTAATCAGTCTCAAAACTCAAAATTATGGTATCTTTATTATATCTGATGGTAAAGAAGCTACTGCAAGCCCATGAACAACTATTACTAATTGATTGTGAAAAATAATTCATATTTTTACATAAATATTTGCAAAATCCGTAGTTGCTAAGAGCTGAGGCAGCAATTAGAAATTTAATATAAATCAATATATAACATCCTTCAGACAGAATTTTTGTCACGATGCCCAGTTTCATTTCAACAGAGTCTAGCCATCTGCGCAGGACAAAATTATAGTGCACAAGTGTGTGCGCAAGTACACATGCACTCACATGCCAATCCGACACGTCCTAACAATGAGAGAGATCAGGCACAATTTCGTTGACAGGAAAACTCTAACTAAAACTCGACGTGAGATAGTTCAGATTAAAATGCTTAACTTTATATTATTTTATTTTTAATGAGTTTGTAAGTAAAATTTATGAGTCATCACTTAACCTATACCAGTTTTGTCTTTTAAAAGTGCTTTTTAAGTTCGTAACACATTTCCCTATAAGAAATTGTATAACCAAAATATAAAATATATTGAAATCATAAAATAAAGTTTCGTTCGTAAGTCACTACACAACTCTACAAAAAAGTCTTAACAGAATAAAAAAATTAATAAATTTTAAAAATTGAGTAGATTTTAAGATCAGAAACCAATAAGATCTTATGTAGTGCACGTCTTATTCAATGTAATTTTATAGTATATAAAATGAACACATTTATTGAAACACTGATTTTATTTATAGTTGCTGTAGGAATAGTTGATTCGAAGTTCTCACTAGATATAAATGTTGGAATACACGATACCGATGTTACAATAACACATTCTGGTTTCGAAATCAACATTATTGGTCATCGGGAAATTGAATTATTTAATATTGGGAACGCTAACATAAGGAATGCTGTAAAGGGACATTACCATTGGTCTCCCAGCAATGTTTACTTAAAAAGTCCGACACCGTGGGGAGATTTGTTCCAAAACTATAACTGGGAACAGGTATCTCGAGTTTTGACTGTCAAATCAGCAAGATTAAAGACAATAACGAAGAAACCTGTAATAGTGTCTCAAGACTTCGATAAAGTTTCATATAAGACGATTAAGGTAATACAGGGATAAGTCAAACAGTGGAAAATGCGATTTCAACGAGTTGGACCAAAACCAAGGAGACGACGGTTTCTCAGGAGATTGAATATGATGTGAACGTGATGTTTGCGAAGATGATGGGCACGACTGGTTTCTCATATTAAACTAGTTGGGGCGAAAGTGAAGAGCAATCTGAAACTATCACGATTGGAACCACAAGTGGTGTTGAAACGGAACTGTAGCCTGGGCACGCGGCGACCGCGGTACTGTCTACTGTCTTTATATATATATATATATATATATATATATATATATATATATATATATATATATATATACCTACATACTATCCTATAATCACTACATTCTACTACAAATCAATAATGAGTACCTAGCTATTGGCAATAAATTTATTTTTGTGGAAACAGTATTTCTGAACAAAAATGTTTCGTGTGTGCATTGTTATAATATTTTAGCAGTTTGTTTTGTGTAATACTAAAATACAGATCTTTGTAAACACGGCCTCAAACAAGGACGATGTTTTTGTGCACTACTATGGTATAGATAGAAAAATTATAACCGATATGGAAGTGAAGTTGTTCAATATTACAGAAGGTAGTAAGAGGTTTGAAAATAGGACTTGATAAGGTACCCCATAATATATTTATGAAAGATCCCACGCCCTACAGTAATTTATATCAAAAATACAAATGGAAGCAAATCGAAAGAAGCTTACTAGTAAAAAATACAGAAGTAGTTGATGTAATAAATGTGAATACTCTCATAAAAACACATGAACATATAAACAACACAAAAAACACAATTCAATCAAAAGTTTCGATATTTGAAACAATAGAAAACACAATATCTTCATTTTGGTCCGAAGAAGGTTTGCCCGAAGATAACATTTTCTTTGATATCGATTATAACTTTAACGGACGAACAGTATCGTACCATAATCTATGGATATATATATTTGTCGTCTTTTCTATACAATATTACGAATGGGGTTGTGTCAAAATGGCCCGTCACCTACGCGGCTAGATGCAGTGTCGGCTGGTATAACCGAGATCCTTGGCTTGAATCCATCTTCATCAGCCTCGTCCTCTACTACCTGGAAAAAACAGTATACATGTCATGAAAATTTATTAATTTTACCACGTTTTCATCATGTCACTTTCTAGTTTTTCTGCCGTAGGTACTGGGTGGAATCATGCAATTCAAATTTCGAACACCTCCCGATGGGTTAAGGATATGAAATTTTGATTATAGCTCGAAATCAGAAATTGTAGGTGAAAAACGTAGTATATTAACTTCTTAGCACAAAGTTTAAAAACATTTACTTGTTTGTACACTTTCGTTTGTTGACAAATTATAGCAACTAGCTACTGTAGTTCAAGGATAATAAGTAAGAGATCAAAAACAGAAACAGAAACTTTTTTTATTCAATATAGATTATAAATAATACTCGTCGAAACTCACTTTTTTCATTTACGACTGATTCGGAAAAAAAACCTCTATCCTGGGGTGAATCAGCAAGAAACCCAGCGGAATGTTTTTTTAAATAACAACTTACAATCATGTACGTTACAATTAACAACACAATAAATTAGAAACAGCTTGGTAGCGATCACCCTACCCAGAGGTTTTATTATCATCCATATCTTAAGTGTATAACAGATGTAGAGAAATGTAGAAGAAGCCCAGTATAATAACAGGCCATGAGGTATTTCATCTTAGTATTCATTGATGCCAATTCTTTATGTTGGTTGCAGGTGAACACCTGATCGCTGCCACGTTCTATCAGGTGGACTGTAAGTTTGTTTTTCAATTCAATTTTTTTTACAGAATAAAATTCACTTACAGCCTACATACGTCCTACGTAGTGGGACGTATATAGGCTGTAAGTGAATTGAGAAAACTCTACACGTCTTCGAAATATTTTTTTTTGTCTCTCAGACATGCAGGTTTCCTCAAGATGTTTTCCTTCATCGAAAAATTATACAACAGTAAATAAACGTTTAAAATTGCTCGCGTACTGTGAAAATTTATATGTTGTATTTCAGTGTGTCTTACTACACTAAAATATAATAGTATTCGCATTTGTTTGCAGAAATAGATAGAAATAGACGATTTCAACGTACCTGTTTGGTTCCATCAGGAAGTACGACAAAGTACGTCCCTTCTGCTTTATCGTCCTGCCGGTTTTCCATTTATACATTTAGTAGTATTTATCAATTACCTTAAGTTGCGTGTTTGCGCAAAATGAGGCGCTAGTCGTTATTTGTAACGTTTTTAGGAACTATCTAGATATCTACTTTTTATTAAAATGATATGTCAACTAATAAAAAAACCTATTACATTTCTACACAATCTTGATTCCATAATAGCCAATTCCAGTTTTTTTAAAGGAGTAAATACTTGATGAATATTCCTACAACTACACCACAGAAATGCGAATTAATTATAAATAATAAAAAATTATTATATAAAAAGTATTGATGACATACATCTTCTCCTCATAAAGTAAACATTATTACACGTCTCATAAGCGTTGAGGTTGTGCTCTACTGTCACTTATTGGTGTTAAATAAAGTCGCTTAATACGTAAGTAAAATCATGTATTTTATTAACTGTATAAAATATCATAAATCTAAACGAGGTTATAGATATGCATAATAATAACAATGTACATTTTAGACACGCAAATAACAAGGTATAACAACAATTATTATTACTCACAATTTATCTTCCATGTACGTATTCTCTCTACTCAACATTTTAGTAAAACTGCCGCTGAAGCCGACGACATCTGTCTTTTATAGGCTTGTAATTTAACAGTGCTAAACTACAGATGGCGTTACTTGTGTGGTTTCCGTTACAAGTTTTTATAAAGTTGGATATTAAGCTGTAAGTTTTTACATTATAAAACATTATTTATATTTCTTATAATTATCTTAAATAGTTTTACATTCTAATTATAAATATAAGCAAAAAAATAAATAACTAGACATAATCTAATACATTAAATGTACCCGCAGACTTTATAGGATGAAAAAAATAATTACCCACCATGTTAGTTACAACAATATAAATTATTAAAATACTCTAACAATGGAAATCCAGTAATTTACTGAGCTAAAAATGTCTTCATTTTTTAACTACCGCACTGTAAGAATAACAAAAATACACATATATCGAGAAAAATCACTCGTTTTCATGTTTCTATTACTTTTAAAAGTAATTTTTTGTATAAACAAACTGATTGAAAAAAATTATCGAGGGTGCCCGGAAGTCTGTATTAATCGTAGTCGTTAGAATTAATGTATCAAAATAATTCTTTTTTTATTAGGTTTAGAATCTCAACGCACAGGTTCTTTTAAAAATCACTGAGTAATTTGTTCTTGTTTAATTGTAATTAATGAAAATGTAAAAAACAACTGGTACTTTTCTACAAAAAAATATTCTCATGGATCTCTTCTTTCGTCTCAAATATATAAAAAGAGATATTTTTCTTTTCATATAATCAAATGAGATTATAAGGCGTGCACTTTTGGCTTTTCCAAACGTTTTTATTTTGCGATTGACACTAATGGATAGGCAATTTATTAATGAACATTTTGATGTATTTAATTTTTTATAGGACTAAAATTCGATGTTATAAAGAAAATATTTTAAAATTTGCGCGTATTTCTTACGCAATATATAGTAGCAAGAGTGCGTGGAGAGCCCGTGAAATGTATAGGACCGAATGCTTAAGGTCCTTCGCTAGGAGTAGCGCCTTAGTTGGCCTCCCCCTATAGATTGTCTTGTATGCTTTTTCTAAAGTTGCCACGCTAGAAAGGCGGGATGGCAAAAGAAAAATGCTGCTGCCAATATCCTGTTTCAGTTTCCCTCTATCCCCACTTACGACACCTACGGGATGAGATGGGGTAGCGGATATTATTACGCCGCTGTTGAACGCTTCGATATCCTTGTGCTTGCTTACTTACTTATGAACTGAATTTTTTTTAGGGTAGGGTGATAAAAGCACACAGACCACCTGATAGTAAGTGTTTGCTGTGGCCCATAGACATCTACATCTACCCTCGATTACGAATAAAAATGCAGATGCGGTGTCACCCTTGAGGACTAATATGGAATACCTCCTTTCCAGTAAAAAGGGTCTCCGGTTCTATACCATACGAAACACAGTAGCATTAAGCTACTATTTTACGCTGATAATCTGTGAGAGCGTGGTCCTTCTCCGGTCGAGCCGATACATTCGTGCTACAACTATACTACTAATATAACTGCAGCATGGCTCTACCACGTACAAAACACTCAACAGAAGGTTTCTGCTATGCGAATAGACTCACTGTACAATACGTTTTATTTTACTATAGAAAACCAGTGCTAGACTACCTACCCCGATGGTAAGTGATGATATTAAATGGATGAAGAATGTTAAAGCGCAATGATTTTGCTTAAAAGACTCCTACATTGTAAACGAATGACTATTATATTCATTTCTGTACGCATAACTAACGATGAAAAAAACTATTTACGTGATTCTTTATTATTAGAACTGAAGCCAGAGAAGAAATTCAGAGTTGTGCTTTCGTCTAATACATTGAACTGTGATACTAGTCTATTTTTACGTGGTAGAGCCACGCTGCAGCTATGTTATAGTTGTATCACGAATGGATCGGCTCGACCGGGACAGGACCACGCTCTGGACACGCTTATCGTATGGTGAGTGTAGAGAACCGGAGACCCTTTTTACTGGAAAGCAGGCATTCCATTTTAGTCCTCAGGAGTGACAAGGCATCTGCATTTTGATTCTTAAGCGAGGATAAATGTAGATGTCTATGGGCCACAGCATCCACTTACCATCAGGTGGACTGTGTGCTCGTTTGTCACCCTTATTCTATAAAAAAGCGTTGCTGTTTCTGTTTCTGTATTTCTAACTTCACATGCACTATACTAAGTCGCCAGAGAGTCAACTGGTGTTCCATAAATTTGGGAAGGACTGTTTC